AAGGAAAGTGCACTGGAAACACGACTGAGAATTTCCCTGGGAAAAGCAATTTGAGATGGGCTGCAAGTGGTCAAATTTAACAGCTGTCAAAACACAGTTGCATATAGTTTTAGAAAAGCAAACTTAAACATAACCAAACGTGCAAATGACTAGCACCTTACAGCACTGTAAAAGCAAGTAAATACCCGTTTTAGTGTAAAAAAGTATGTGGCCTTGGTCAACGCCATGCAACATGTACAGCTTAGATAGCCATGAGATTAAATCAAATTTATCAATGATATCTGTGTAAAATGTCACGGTAAATCATTTTCTCTCGATACAACAGCATGRGTACTCCTTAACAAGAAGTAGCTCGACTCTATTGTGATCATTTACACTTAACATCTAATTACAGCTGACAATGAAAAATCTTCTAATTCCAAAGAGGGAGCATCAAACTACTGCGAAATCACAATATGTATTTGAGTTCTACATATGCACTCATGTAACGCATGTGCAACGCATGAGAAACTTCCTGGTAACACACAAAGTGTATCTTACATGCATGTGACAGTTCAATAATTACTTCAGCTCGCTGCTTACCTGTCGATCGTGACAATGTTTTACCGCGACCATTATTCCACCTCCCGGGAGGGTTTAGTCAACTAACATGAAATAATCGCAGTATGATAACCTAAGCAAGGGGACACTTATTCAGGTCTCAAACACGTCTACTGAGAACTTAAATCTCACCCCAATAATAAAAGGACCATTAGAAATTAAAATTTCCCCCAGTTATGGGGGAAATTTTACAATCGCACAATTGTGTTCGTTTTGTCCATTACTCGCTTTTTTTTTAGAGTTATATTAAGTTATCCATTTACTCCATTGGCTACATGTCTTTTTAAATCTTATCAATTACCCTCTTGTCCTAATTAAATTAAAATAACCTAAACAGAAACTGCTAAACCACGTAAAATGCCAAAGTTGTTGATTAAAAGTTACTTATCTAAATAAAATATTATCGATTAGGCAATCTGTTCAGCCATTACAGCCCTAGGTATTAAAAACAAGCAAAGAGGCTGAGATAACCAATCAGAACTGATTAAGATCGGTTACTGGCAGATCTGCCATGTGCACAGGGAAACAGCTTCACCAAGCACGGCAAGGTATGGTGCTTATTCCTCCAAGGTCTGCCATATATACTTACAAATCATAATGTACATCATCATAAAGCTTTATCCTTTAATTCCTCCAATTCTCTATCTTGGCCTGTCACAGGCGGCACATCCAGCTTTAAAAGAGTTTGGGTTAAAAAATAACAACAAATGCAATCTGTTGAACAACTGTCACGCAAGAGGTCAAGGCCAATCTTTCAACTTGGCCTGGAATGTACCAAATACATAACCTCTTGCATGACAGCTGTTCAAAGGATCGCATTACATATTTTGTCATTTTTAAGCCCGAATTCTTTTTAAGCTTGACGCATCACCTATAGCAGGCCAAGAAAGAAACTTAGAGGACTTTAAAGTGCCCCTGAGATCAAAATTTTCGTACATCATTTTTTTCCATTTTCTTGTTCAGTGTGTCTCCTTCACCTTCTCTGCCAAATTTCAGTTTAGACCGAGCACCAGTAATATCTTTTTTCGGGCCGTTAAATTCACGATTTCACGTCTGCCATTATTTGATCATGTTCTGGAAGTTGATCACAAGACTCAGAGGAAGTGACGTCAAAGGCTCAACGCAAAAATCTCACATGGCAAAATGTCAAG